ACATAACTTGAGTGCTTGTGACTTCTTCATTTCACCGAGATTGAAATTTAATCTTAAGGGACATTATTTCGGTAAATTGGAAAACATTTAAAGGACTATAACCGGTCAAATAAAATCAATTCTATTAATCGAATTCCAAAACTTCATCGAGGAGGGGAATAACCATCTTAAAAGTTATATGGTTTTCTAAAGGAAATATTTTTAGGAAGACAATATTGAAATGCATTTCAATACGAATAAAGAAATAAAACATCAGTCTCATTATTTAATTTACAAACCTTGCAGACTTTATATTACTTTTATAACACGTTTAATCTTCTTTCCGTTTGCACTGAATTTGAACTTTAAAATATATTCATAGATTACTCAGTATGTTATATAATATCATAATGATTTGGCATTTATCGAAAATCGTAATCTATATCTTTGCTTTTGCATTTAAAACTTCATCTTTCGCATAATTTACATATGTTTTTACACATTTATTTACATGTGTTTAAATCTTTAAATTCTACATAGACATTTTAAGAATCTATACAGATTTTCATTATGGATTTTGTATTAACTTCATTATACTTTTAATCACATTTCTCTTGAAATTGGTAAAGATTATCAAAATAAATTTATAATTTACACAGTATGTTACAAATAATCATAATGATTATACATATCTATCGAAAATAGTTTTTGATAACTTTGCTTTTGTATTTAAATTTTTAGCTTTGCATTTACACATTTATTTACACCTGCTTAAATCTTTAAATTGTATTTATGGATTTTAAGAATCTATACACACTCACATTATAGATATTGTATTAATTTCATTAAACTTATAATCACATTCTCCTGATACTGGGTGACATAATCAAAATAAATTTATAATTTACTCAGTTTGTTACAAATAATCATAATGATTATACACATTTATCGAAAATTGTTTTCGATATTTTAGCTTTACAAGAATTACATATATTTTCATACACTTATTTATAAGTGCTTCAATCTTTAAAATCTATTTATAGTTTTTTAGAATCATCAGATTCAGATCACAGATTTCATATTAATTTCATCATATTTTTAATCACATTTCCCTTGATACTGGTTGAGAGATTATCAAAATAAATTTATAATTTACTCAGTACTTTACAAATAATCATATTTGTCGAAAATAGTTTTTGATATTTTTACTTTCTCATTTAAAGTTTAAGCTTTACATAAATTGCTCGTGTTTTTACCCATTTATTTACACGTGTTTATGTCTTTAAATTCTATTCGTTGGCTTTTAGAATCTTTACAGATTCACATCATAGATTTTATATTAGATTTATTATACTTTTCATCCCATTTCCCTTGACTCTGGTTTAGATTATCAAAATTAATTTATAACTTACTCAGTATGTCACAAATAATCCCAAAGATTATGCATATTTGTCCAAAATACTTTTTGATATTTTTGCTTTTGCGCTTAAAATTTAAGTTTTGCATAACTTATATGTGTTTCTACACATTTATTTACATTTGCTTCAATCCTTATATTCAATTTATAGATTTTAAGAATCTATACACATCACACTATAGATGTTTGAAGTTCATTATACTCTAAATCACACATCTCTTCATATTAGTTGAGATAATCAAAATAAATTTGTAATTTACACAGTATGTAACAAATAATCATAATGATTATACACATTTATCGAAAATAGTTTTTGATATCTTTGCTTTTATATTTTAAATGTTAGCTTTACATAAATTGCACGCGTTTTCACACATTTAGCTACATGTGTTTAAATCTTAAAATTCTATTTATAGGAATTTATAATCTATACAGATTCACATAGATTTCCTATTAGTTTCATGATATTTTTAATCCAATTTCTCCTGATACTGGTTAAGATTATCAAAATGAATTTATAATTTACTCAATATGTTACAAATTATCACAAATATTATGCATATTTGTCGAAAATAGTTTTTGATATTTTTAGTTGCATTTAATATATAAGCTTTGTATAAATTACATGCGTTTTTACTCATTTATTTACATGTGTTTTTACACATTTATTTACATGTGTTTTTACACATTTATTTACATGTGTTTAAATATTTAAATTCAATTTACGGGTTTTTAGAATCTATTCACATAATAGACTGTTTTCATTAATTTCATCATACTTTTAATCGCATTTCTCTTCATACTGCTTGAGATTATCAAAATAAATATTTAAGTTGCTCAGTATGTTACAAATAATCATTATGATTATACACATTTATCGAAAATCGATTTCAATATCTTTGTTTTTGCATTTAACATTTTAGTATTTTACAAATAATGTATTTATATATATATACACACACACTATCTACTAGTAATCATCGTACCAATCTCAGGTTGATCTCGCCTCATGACAAGTGGCGTTGTCATCCTCGAAGTAACAATGATCAGCCCTTAAAAGTGTAAAAGTGTAGGAAGCACATTGTTATCAAGACAAGTCATCCCCACTCTATAATTCCACCTCCTCTGAACTTTACTGTAGGAACGATACATTATGTTAAAAAGCATTCTCCAGGCATATAAACACCGTCATCTGAATGATGGAGATTGATTCTTGATTCGCTCATAGTCTGGAGGAGATCTATCTAAAAGAATCTTAAGTTGAAACAGAAGGCTTGCAACTTGATTAAGTTGATGAATGAACTCCAACCATTAACTAAACTTGGCCAATTAGTTCTAGGAACTTTCAAATCAAAATGCTCCAACTAATAAAAAAAAAAAATTTCTAATTTTCGTGCTCTTTTTTTAAAATTTTGTGTATTTTTTTCCTTTTTGGTTTTCGTTGCTATTTGCTATTTTTTTCCTTTCTCTTTTCTATCGGCTATTTTTTTTTTCATTTTTCTCTCTGTCGTGTCTTTTAGTCTTGATTCATCCTTCTAGAGAACCTCTTTCAATGATGTCCGACAATTATGACATTCCCAAAATTAGACAGCTCTGAATTTTGTGGTATTTTTCAAGCGACTGATACCAATGCTTTTTCCTAAAATATGTAATAGTATCGTAGATCAGGACCACTGATATCCTCATTTGCGTGGGTGTCAAAATACTTATTGGTAGATAGTGTATATATTGCATGCAGAATTGCGTAACTTATAATTTAAAAAACCACGTGTTTTGAGAATTGTTATATTAAACAATTTAAAGTTTCAATAAACAAAATTACGCTAACACAATAAGGAGTTTGAAATTATTTAATTTGGATAACTGTCGCATTTTAAACCACTTTAACTAAGCATGAGTGTTAGCTTAGTTTCACTCACAAAAACTTCAAATTTCAAAAGATAAAGAGATATCAAACTCCTGTGTTGCTTAAAGCTGTGACATTAACACGAGAACGACTGGAGTGGCACATTTTGACGACAAATCATATTTGAGAGAGGCGCTAAGCCCTTAAATAATTTTACTAGCTTTCTTGACTTTTGTTTATTTTCCTAAATTTTTGAGAGCACATAAAATACTTTAAAAAGCACATAAAATACTAATTTATCTAAAAAGACCATTGCAGTCAATATGACCGCTATAGAGATTTGAATGTGTAATTTATATTTATCGCTCTGTTTCACTTCCATTGTTTATCTTTATTTCATTCGAGCACATTCCTAACTAGATCAACATTGTATAGGCTTTTATTTATGTTTTTTTTTACAACAGAAATCCATCTCCTGCTATCTGCTGTTGTCCAGTCCCTCCTAATTGCTTACGTAATAATCAAATGCTTATATTAATTTCGTATTGAGATATGAGCTTGTAATTGGTTTAGAAATGACAAACCTGCCCAACCATCTAAATAAATTGGGGTAATTTTTTCTGAGAGTAAATTTTTAAGTTATTGTAAATTTTTCTGAGAAAATCTAATTTGTAGGGAAAAATTAATAAGCAGGGAACATAACAGGGAAACTAATCAAATGTAATAGACAGCTGTTGCCGTTAAAGATTACGTACGTTAAAAATTAATTCAGTGAATGAGAAACTAAGGAATTTGGATAATATTTCTAGTTGGCTGTGGAACTGACGACCAAATATTTTTTGAATAGTTTGATAAAATTAAGAAAAAACATCGACAGAAGTAGCTTGGAGAATATACAGTTGTGTTCCTTTTTAGGGAAGAAATGTGCCAACAGAACTAAAATCCTTCTTACTCCTTATGGACAAAAATAATTTTGGTAGTTTTTACAACACTGCTAAACTATAAAGAAATCTCATAAATTAAAGCAGCTAAGACTACCTAGGATTTTTTCAAAATAGGATATTTTAGTTCAGGATCAAATAACTATTATTAAATATCCATGTAAACTAAATAATAATGTCTGCATCTTGAGTACTATACGTAAATATGGGAGTTTTAACATAGTATATAATTCTAAAAATCCCTCTGAAAAAGTAAATTCTTTTGTTGTGTATGCATCTTAGCGTGGATAAATTCCAAATAAGCCGATTGTAAGCGACACGAAGGATTTTTAGAACATGGCTAAATTTTATTTCGCGAACCTAAAGTTTGCTAATTAGCTAATTTTTCTGAATTCTTTTACAGCACAGCGTGTTACTCTTAACAATATTCTCAATATTTTGAGTCAATGAATTGAGACTGTTTTATTTTAGAGACTTTTATTTTTGTTTACTTCATTAAAGCACCCTGCTTTGTCACTGTTTGAAACTGCGATTAATATGCGCCACCTGTCAGCCGACAGAAAACAAAACAGTTTGTCATGCCTAAGACCTAGCGAAAAATGCTAAGAAATTTTCCTTCGCAACTTTTTTTTCTAATCATGTGCTAATATCTGCAACTGTTTTATGATGCTTTCTTGAAAATAAAGGTAATATTTTGTATAGTACAAATAATGCCATTAAGAATACTCCTGAATGTTAAAAATATTAAAAATGACTTTTTTTAAACTTTTTATAATGATATTTAAATTAAAAATCAAATATTTATGTCCATTTTCTTATTTCGACCAAAATGACAACAATGAACATTCTAGGTAGGTAAAAATATCAGTCGTTCTAGTGTTAATTTTCTTTCCAAACATAAAATTGCACATTTTGAGGACATTGACAGATTTGAAATAATATAATGGCAGCATAAACATAGCTATGTAGCCATAATTCTTCCATTACACAAAGTGAGAGCTTTTGGAGCCCCTTGAGCACAGTAATACAGTACTTGTAAATGAATGAGTTGAAAAGTAAATAACATCTTGCTTGAAAGTTAACATTGAAGTTTTATGAATATTAGCGCCGAGACAATATTTAAAGATTATTTTCATACATTGATTACAATGTTTCGATAAGTCGATTACACAGCACAAATAATCTGAGAATTATATTTGACATCTTATTCTTATCACACACTGGCTTGAAGGATTAAAAAAGCTTTGAAACCTTACAAAGAAAATATTTTCCCTCTGTAGCAATGGGAAAACCACAAGGAAAAAAAAGGTCCTACAAATTTGCAATCCAAAAATTGAATAGCTTTCAGTTCTGAATGCAGTAATATTTGCAAACTAATGAAGGGAAAACTGAAACCTCATATCAACAGCTTGGGTAGTAATTTGAAATTTAAAAGCAGAAAATGTGAAAAAACATGATGACCACGGCCAAAATTATTGCTCCTACCACGATGGTACCTGCAATGTGATATGATCTCATTTCTGGATCCATGCAATAGGAATTCCGACGAGATGATGCTTCATTAATTGGTTCCATGGGAAGTCGGGAAGTTGTACTTCTTTGATTTTCTAAAAACAGAAACAATTTATGTCATGATCTAGAATTTACTTAGCAATTTTTTTTTAAATATCCAACCCATAAGAAGTAATTTTAATTTTCCCATAATAAAATTTTAAAAAAAATTAGGGAAAGCCCCTTCACCGTAACAAGTTTTTTGAATTTTAATTTTCCGAAACACTACAATTTGTTACATGCAGCTTTTAATGGAACATATATGATTTGAAATTGACAAAGGAATAATTTTGTTTAGTTATGTATATATATATATATATATATATATATATATATTTTTTATTGCAATTCACCGTATTAAATATTCACTGCAGCAGTTTTATGCACACTCATGGATACATTTTTAGTGGACATAAGCTAACATTAGACGATAAAGCATCAACAAGTACACAAACGAGGGTGGTTCCGAAAATAAAATCAAGAAAATAATCTCAAGAATACTTAAATTTTGGGTTTACCAGTAGCTAATAAACTTAAACGTTATTTGGAAAAGCTTCATAGTGNGGATGCTAAAGTGCACTAGGAATTTAATTTTGCCGGAAATGCCAAGAGCCAATAAGGCACTCCAGGGATCTTTTACATGCCGCATAATCATACGACATGGTCGCTGAGGATTTTCTGCATCCCGAAAATCCGGTGTCTGGACCGGAGATCGAACCCGCAGACTTGGGCTCAGAATGCCGACGACAAACCAACTGCGCCACCCAGTCTCAAAAAAAATTAGACAACAACCATTTTGCCATTGGGTTACCTGTGATCACCCTTCGGCAATCACAATTATTTAATTTTTTTTTTAAAATTACAGTTGATTTTAAATTATTTATTTTCATTGTAACAAGTTTTAAAAACATAACTGTAAACAAAGTAATTGCGGAGTTTCAGATAACCTTAAAAATATTAATCTGATGACGTAGTCCACTTATGCTATCACAATCACGTGGATCATTCAAATAACTTGGCAAGAGGGATAAAAAATATTTAAGTAATACCGAACGCGAAATTAACTAACCTTGTTTTTATTAGAGCTATAAGTTAGCAAACATCATTTGATGCTATCTTAAAAATACTTGACAAACTGAATTCTCTATAATTTACTTTAAAACAATCTCTTCCGTTAAGCCACTGAGATAATTTCAATTTTTAAATGTCACTGATTAAAAAATATATTTAAAAAATCGAATATCAGGTTTTTTAATTTGTTCACTTCTCTACTCATGCAGCTTCATGCTGAATCTCGTATTTTGATAGGTTGGTTGTGGATATGGTTTACCTGCTATTTTTCATACAGATACATATATATTCCTTATTTTAATATATGTACTAGATGAATACCAGTTCCTCCTAGAGAGGGGAAAACATAATCAGTACTGAGTAGCACTACAAAATCAAACACAAAACTTTCAGACAAATACCGACACAAACAATAAAGCTTAAATGATTCCAATGGTTTTAATTTATTTATTATCATTTGTTGCACTTCTCGGTGGCTTTACATTATTGGATTAAGCAAAACATGCTTTTGGTAGTTCATCCCAAAGTAAAGATGAATTGAATTTAGTATTATCTGGCATTATGCTGTTGCTGAAAGCTAATCATGATATTTAAAACTTACCTCTGTTAGGCTACATTCTCCTGTATTTATATCTTCGAGGGACTGCAAGAAATCTATCATAAAAATGTACAATATTGGTGCAGCTATAATCGGTACCAAATTTTCTCTAAAATATGCTGTACCTTACTCTGAAATATGTTGTATATTTGGTACCTGTAAAAACTGCACCATTGACGTCAGTGCCCATTACCAAATTTAAGCATCATTGGTGTCTATAATAGTATGACGATTTTTTACGGTACCCAGTAACGAATAAGTACATTTTCTCCATAAATTCTTCCTTTTTAGCTTATGGCTTATTTCATTTATTTCAATTAGTTGCTATTACCCAAATAATTTGAGCATCATTGACGTCGGTAACAGTTTGCCGATTTTTTACTGTCTTAAATGAATTAGTACCATTTCTCCATTTATTTTGCCTTTTAGTACATATTTTATTAATTTAATTCATTACTTGTTTTCATAATAATATTAGTAGTTTTAAGTAAATCATAGTAACACGTTGGGGTAACACGTTGGGGTAATGTCAAATGTCTGAATTTCAATATTAAAACCTTCGCTTTACTATGAGCTTTCCCATCCAAGTTCGAATCCCAGCTGTGGCTGGTCGATACGAATTCCGCATCCGACTTGCACCGACCACAGTGCTGACGTGAAGTATCCTCAGCAGTAGACGGATCATGGGCTTGAGCCCTCTTGTCGTCAGGCTAACAGTGGGAAGTTCTTATGGTCATGTAATGCAAATGCTGGTTAGTTTCATCAAAAAAGTCCCCCACGAAGGAAAATTTCTCAAAATACTTGAGCCAGGAGTTCCCTTGTCTTCTGGAGTAGGTTGAACATTAGCAGTCGTAAATCCGAAAATTGTGTCGGCAGTTCAATGATAGTTATAAAAAAAAAAATAAAGTAGTTTGAAAAGGAAAACCCTGCATTTTGCATACAATTCAACCAAGTATTTGAATTTCAATATATAAAAATAATCCTCGTCTTAACTATGAGCTTTTCACTACTTCAAAATAAAAAGATTGTTTTTCTTCTTTCTATTAAACTAGAAATATCACTTTTTCTTTATTTTAATTAAATACAATTTTTTATGAATATTTTGCTAAGAAACAGGCATTCTAACTCCAGAAAGAAACTGTAACCTAAACGGAAATTTCGTAATTTTTCAGCCGACTTTCAACTAGATTTTTCAGAAACAGGCTACAGAAAATGAGATTCCACTAAATTGTCAATGCATCTAAGAGAAATATTAATTTCGTTTCACTGTCTCTTTTCGAAAAGCTGATCAGAATGATATCATAAATTTGAAACAATGTTTACAGAGATAGACATTATACGAAAAAGAGATTTAAGCAATATAATGGTATAAGGGTGAAAATTAACTAATATGTATCTATCGATCTATCGAAAATTAATCATTCCTTTCTGTTGGGTGCTTTTTGAAGCGCTAATCAGAATGATATAATGTTAAATTAAAAATTCAATGACAGTAATATTTGTTTCCAAATGCAATAAGCTTATATCTTTGTTTTAATTTTTTCTCTTAAAAAATTTCACTTTACTAGTTTCCTTTATGATAATAAACATTTTATTTGACTTATTTCATTTCACATGTTGTATTTTCATTTTACTGATTATAGCTTTAGACTTGAAAGTCTTAAGTAACAATTTTTTTTAAGATGTGAAAAACTTATTTCATCAATTAACTATTAAATGTAATATTCCATTTATCGTAATATTTTTACTTTATATTTCACTATTCGCAATTATTTTTGTTTTAGAAAGATTAGAAGCTATTAATTTAAAAGCATCATTTTAATAACGCAATGCATGTTCTAGTTAATCAAAGAATCACATCAATATCTTAAAAAAATAAAATCCTCGTTTAATTATGATTTTTTTCTGAATACACAATTAAAGATATTTTTTTCTTCAGATTAAGCTAACATGACGGCTAGGAAGACCACTTTTTTCTCATTTGATCACATTTCTTAACAATACCAATTCATAGTTTATCAAATATTGCACTTTTTTTTGCATGAAACTCCACCAAATATTCGAATTTCAATGCATTACTTTACTATATCAACATTGTAATAGGCAAACGAGCAGTCAATGACTTGATTCGAACCTGGCTCATGTCACTGTGAGGCAAACGCTTTGTCCTCTGAACCACGGCAGCTCTAATGGTGAGGTACGAAAAAAAATTTTAAACTGTTTTTATCTTAAATGTCTTACTTATAGAAATCATGTTCAAGTGTAAAAACATTTAAAATTGTATTGGCCAACAATAAAAAAAATGTCTGGTAATTTAACTTAACGAAAAATTATATCAAGCAAATTCTGTCATTTTAGCAAAAGAATTCATTTTCTTAATATAAACCGGTTATTTTAAACGAACAAGAACTCTATAAAACGACTATGTCAGCATTGTAGTCGGCGCACGAGCAGTCAACGGTTTGATTCGAACCAGGGTAAAGGTGAGCGCCTTGTCCTTTGATTCACGGCAGCTCTAATGCTGAGTTAAGAAAAATCCTAAACTGTCTTTATTTTAAATGTTTTACTTATTTAAGGGTAAAAGCGTTTAAAACTATATTAATCAACCATTAGAAAAATGTCTGGCAATCAATTTAACGAGATGACAAAATGTATCTAAAGGCAGATAATAATCAGACAATGAAGCCGAATCGCAAGTTATTTATAATGCTCAAAACTTTGAAGTAATTTATGAAAAGTAGTAGCAAGTATAAAAAATAATCGCGAAATGATTTGAAAAAAGGTAAAGTTATCTTATGGTAAGCATAACTACATGGCTAAAATTAGAATTTGAATTGACTTTTTCAACAGTCAAATATACGGAGAAAGTCAGAATTTTTTGCAGCACTCGGTCAACCATTTTAAATTAAAAAAAAGTTTAGGAATTTTAATTTCTATTAATTTGTTTTCGATCTCATTCGATTTGGAATAGAAAAATAAGTTTGATCAAATACATTGCTTGTCTATATAGCGATGCGAAGCGTATTGAGTACAAAGGAGTACTTTTTATCAAAATTTTTTTTTTTATAACTTTTGAAATATTACTAATAGTTCCATTAACTTGGTTTTATTAGGTTCTGTGCAAAATAAATGCATCGCAATCCCTAATATCACCATCTTTGAGCTGACACATGAAGTTCTACACGACTAAGTTCGATGTAAACAAGAGTAAAATGGAAAAGGAACTAAGGAAATGTAAATCTGCCCCATTACCTAAAAAATTAATAAGTGGTGCATATGCTAAAAATAGTTACGACTTTTAATACTTCTTCCGTCCTGCTCTGGTCTGAGGCTAGTAAATAAAGTTATAATGTCAAAACAGTAAATATGTTCAAAATATAGTATTAAATTTTTCTGAAACTGTTAATAATAATTTTTTTCTTATCATTTGCTTCAGTTTGATCTCATTTAAACAATCCTAAGAAATCCGTAAGATCTAAAACTTTGTTCCTCTGCACGTCATTATTTTGCTTTGGCTATATTGATGCAATATTAGAAAGCACTCTTTTTTGCGGATATAATCGTGTGAGCTGATGAAAAGATTTTATCTTTCATTTTCCAGATTTTTTAAAATTTTTTGTCTTTTTTCCGGTATATATATATATATATCCCCACAGCAGTGAGATTTAGATTGTGACTGTAAGATCCACATTGTGACGGTAACTTCAGATATTATATTGGGCCTCATTATTATTTTCCAATACAATTTACAACATTCTTATAACTATTTATTTATTCAATGATCATATTATAAGTGAGACATTACTGAGTTTTTGAAATGAAAATGTTCTTTAAATTGATCATATCATAAGAAAAGTTGAATCAGTGAGCGAAACAGTAGGAACTGATTTTGCTTCTGCGAATCTTGAGGTTTATTTTTCAGCACATTTCATACTAGGCTGTTTCGGGCGAAAGCAATTAATGACCTTCAAAATTGCGTAAAATTTCACTTTCTTACTACTTTAAGGTCAATTTTAAGCTGGCGTCAATTACGCACCATACATATGTTTATTGTTTAGGTAATCATTAGTATGCATTTAGAGAAATACATATCATTGTGATTCACTGTTGGTACTAGTAGATTTTGCAGGTCAAAGTCATTAGCCAAAGTCATTTTTTAGCTTTTTCTTATGTAACCTTTGATCTTTGATTGGAAGATCCACTGAGCGTATTTAAGTCTTAATAGTTAGGGTGAACATAGTGGAATATAAAATAGTGGTTAGTGGTGTGATTCACTTGTAAAAACGTAGTGCCACTTGTAAATCGATGTGCTTTTCTTAGAATTTGAGAGGATCTGTAGTTTTCCTATCTGAAAATTACATCCAGAAAATCTACAGTAGAAAAATTATTGAAGTTATTTCGAAGAATTTTACAGATTTTTTAAAGACAGAAAAAATTTTGCACTTTTCCTTCAATTTAATCTGAAGAAAAATGTCTTTCAATATTTTCTTCTCTACATTTTATTTAGAATTTTTGATGACATAAAAATTCTAAAGAAAATTTACTTTTCTTTACTTCTTAAATTTACTTTTTCTAAACTTTCATTTGCATGAAAATTAAATAGTTATAAGTCAGAGAGAAATTGTAAATGATCAATTTTTTATTTATTCATACTAAAATAAATAATTTTTTTGAAAATTTAAGTTTAAATTCTGACTAGTTTTCTTGCACTGATTTATCACTTCTCGTTTCTTTAATCAGTTCTAACTTAGCTTTTAATCATCAGAATTTTAAATTAAGGTAGTTTTAGATCCAATTCTTTGAAAAAGAGTATTAAAAAATTGTTAATTTTATGGATATGGAATATTACATCGTTGGCAGTCTTCTTAGTTTAAAATCCATATATCATCGTAAGCTATTTTTCAAAAATCAAACATGATTTCTGAAATTTAAATACATAAAAGGCTTACCCGGCCGTATTGGAATTTCCATCAGCAGTGCAGTATACTGTGCCTCTATTTGAGCTTCAGGTAAGTTAACTGTAGAAAATAAATTCACGTTAACTGAGTACTAACGTAAACTTAATTTAAAATATTTATTTTGTCTAAATCAAAATTATTATTAAATATCCATTAAAAGTGGAGAAAAAAGAAAGGAAGGAAAAGAAGAAAAAAAAGGATCTACCTGCAGAAGGCGCAGGTGTTGATGATGAGTCATCTTCATGATAACTGTAACATTAGATTTAAATGTATCAGAAGCTATATAAACATACTTTTAACTATTTAGTCATCATTAAAAAAATGGGATGTCACAGTGACCTATCTAATGAAAGTACGAGCATTAAGTTATTATAATTGGAGGAGGAGTTTGTGCTTGTGTGCTATGATTTTTAAATTTCGATAGGGGATTCGAGGGAGAAGTTTTGCCTTCTATTCTAAAATTCTTTAAAATTTTTGAATTTTGGAGGGAATTTTGAATAATGAATTTTTTCTCTTTCTCCTTCAGCATTAGTCACTGCTAGAAATTAATTTGTAGATTATTCAGAGTTTTAAAATATTTCAAAGACTAAAACGCTCCGTTGCCTGCTTGTTTCGAACACCAACTCCTTGCTCTGCTCGCCATTTTTCAGTAAAAGTCATTTTTCTTTAATAAAAAAAAGAAGGAAAGAAACAAAGATTATTTGCTTCAAAAATATAAAGTTGTTTTAACTTTGTAAAATATCACTTTGTTAGTATGATAATCGTTTCAAAATGAACTATTACTTGAAAAATAATCTGTGTTTGAAACATATATTCAAACTGAGGATTATATAATATGTGGCATAAAATGATAGAAATGTATCTCATTTTGATGTGTGACGAAATAAATGAGAATTTTCTTGTCAACAATCTCTAACATTAACTTTTTATTATTTAAAAGCTCAAATTCATCTCTCTTGAAAACTTTGCATATTTTTAAAAATTTCAATGCATGTTGTGATTAATATCTGGTAACATCAAATCTCTTCCTCCTAGTTTTCAACTTCTCTTTTGTGTTTACTTAGTATTTTTATTTGTCTAAATGCCGGCATGCTATGTCGAATCTCTTATAACCTAATAACCATTTGAGTTGAGGTCCTGAAACTTGGACATCGACTACAAGGTGGAATTTTAGTCCCCGACTGTGAAAAAATTTTGGATAAAGCGAACAAATTTTTGTATCCGACAAAATCTATACAAATTACAATTGGTTCGTTCAAGAGATATGTTTAAACTATGATTTTTTTTTTGTCTTAGTACAGCATTTATCATCGTTTTAAATCCAATTACAGACGATTATGTTATGAGTTAATTGCTCGCTCCTTAATGTTAAATTTTTTTTCAGATGCTCAGTGATAAACGTGGATCAACATCTGCAACACCTAATTAGTATTTCCAAATTTCTTTGAAATCGTGTGTTTATTTCGTTTCTCAAACGTAGTTCTGTAAATTTAAACTCTTTGAAATATACAGTAATTGAAATAAAGAAAAATGAGTTCTGTGCTATTTCTAATAACGTCAAATAATCAAGGATTGCAACAAATAATAATGAGATTTAAAATTAGGAACTATTTTAACGAAAATAATTAACGAAAATTGAACAAAAAGTATGAAACTAAATAAATTGAAAGTGATGGAAATTGAAATAAAAATAATTAAGTTCTGTACCAAAATGCAAAAGTAATGGAAAAAATTGCTGGTTTGGGGTGAAGTTTGACTAGCATGAGTTGACCACGAGCAATAGTATCCTTTACTATGCTGAATGATAAAGATTTTGGTAGCTAATCTTTATTGCAATCAGTTGAGTACAAAAAATGTGTTATTTTCTTATATTTTAATTTAATAACATAATGTCTCCGAGAAGATCAAGGAACAATTATAAATACAAAAATCAGAAATATTTATTAACTCTTTCGGTACATGCATTTAAGTTATGTACTTGATTTTGTAGAGCGGCTTAAAACCAGTTTATCTTTCCTTTTCACCTCGTACTGTAACAAACTCCTTATCATAATACCATGAAATACACCATCACTATGGATGCAAGCCTTTTTTACCATAAAATTTTACGAACAAAAAATCTGGTATACCGTAATGTTTACAGTAGTATTTATTATAAAATAACTGAATTACATAAGATGGATAATAATTACTGCAAAATATACGGTATAAAATTTGATGGTGAAAAGGGATTTTAAGGTAAAATTATTTCATGGATGATGTAGTACTTTTTACCGTAATTTGATCTGCAATTACTTACTGTATATTCAGCTAGTGTAAAAGTAACGAATTTTCTAACGGAAGAAATTCAATATATATCTAAATCTACATATAAGATTCTGCATATAAGATTTATACTCAATAATTAACTTTAAAGCTCTTATATAAATTAAACAAAATGATCATGTGCTATTTCGAAGACTTTTAAAATTTCATTTAAGAAGTACGTGTACAGATAAAACTAATCACGCAATTTTATGGTGAGTTATTTAGGAATAAAATAAAAAAAATATATAATTTTTATCAGTTTAAAAAATAAAGTTTGTGAGGGACTTTTTATCATATTAGCATAAAACCGCATGATTCAGTTGCATGGACGTAATTACAATAAGTTTACATGTTAAAATGCATTATTAAAAAATATAGAAAATTAACATAATATAATTTTGGTACATAAGTTATAGAAAGAAAACATAAATCATTTAATTTTCCTGAAAAACCAAATTTTTCATCTGTGTTCAAAATGCTTTAAATGACTCATACTACACTTTTGTGATACAACGAATAACATCATACATTTTACAATAAAGAACATTTAAATCGAAATTTTTTTTGAATAAGGAACAAAAATCTCATCAAAAATCAAATATAGTCAAACAGGCTTATAACAGGAATGTGACAATTTGCACTTTATTAGAACGATAAAAACTATTTAGCCTGAAATCGAGTACAGTCTAACCTCGCTAACAACGAAAATGTAAGGTACGAATCAATACGTCTCGTACATAATCTATAAAAATTATTTAACCCAAATTTATGTTGCTGTTGTTGTTATTTTTATTTTACTGTTTTTTCATTAATTATGAAAAAGGAAAAAACAATCTCTTTATTGCATCTTTCAACAATTATGCAGGGTGTTACGTTTTGACAACTCTTAATACAATTATTTTTATGCGTTTTCAAGAATGAATTAAAAAATGTATAAACTAAGGTGCACACATTTATTTTTAATATTTAAGCGAAGATAAAACAAAAACACTATTTAAAGATGAATGCCTTTTGACCTCTCAGAAAGATGAGACTGAAAACATCAACGAATATCTGCAAAACGAATTACTACTGAGAAAGATAAGAATGATAATATTAACAAATGACTACTACTAATGGACGGCGGGTGACCACTAACCAGTGGTTACTCTGTAAAATGAGACTGAAAACATCAACGAATGTCTTCTTTTTTCTTCAACTTCTATTTTAATACGAAACTCAAGCTTCGAAATTTGATATTTTAAATTAATCGATTCTTACCCCATCGGACAGCTAGGCCGAATAACTTTGGGCTTCATCTTCACCAGTTGAAATATTTTATCCTTTGTCTAAAATTACAAAAAAATAATAAATAAAGGTATTAATATTTCAAGAAAAATATTACGAAACTAGTCTTAGATTACCTAAATTATCAATGCTATTTATATTTTGGCTTCAGTAATTAGTTCTAATGGTACCACTTTTTTATTTGTAAGTTTCTTATTTGTCGATTCCCATTCGTTTTTGCCTCTTGAATAAAAAGAACTATTAACACATTTTCAATTTTTCCTTTTCTCATAAATGTGGTTAGTTTAAAATTGAATATTTCACTGATAACCTTCAATTTTTGATAAAATATATGGATGAATATTAAGTAAATGAGTCAGTAAGTATAAATAGTATTGATTAACTAAATTATCAATGCTATTTATATTTTGGCTTCAGTAATTAGTTCTAATGGTACCACTTTTTTATTGGTAAGATTCTTATTTGTCAATTCCCATTCGTTTTTGCCTCGTGAATAAAAAGAACTATTAACATATTTTTAATTTTTCCTTTTCTCATAAATATGGTTAGTTTAAAATTGAATTTTTCACTGATAACCTTCAATTTTTGATAAAATATATGGATGAATATTAAGTAAGTGAGTCAGTAAGTATAAATAGCATTGATTAACTAAATTATCAATGCTATTTATATTTTGTCTTCAGTTATTAGTTCTAATGGTAACACTTTTTTATTGGTAAGATTCTTATTTGTCGATTCCCTCTTAATAAAAATGACTATTGCCTCTTGAATAAAAAGGACTATTGACCTATTTTCATTATTTTCATATTCTCATAAATATAAACTAAAACTCAGTGGCACGACAGCCCATAGAGGGCCAAGGCCTACTGTGCCCATCTCAGTTTTCTTGACCTTGGGCTCTGGTGTGCAGAAGCAGATGTTCCGGTTAAGTGGAACGCGAAACCCCCAGTGTTTAGTTCCCAAGCAAGCTTGGTACTCATTTATCGACCCACTGAAGGGATGAAAGGCTGAGTCAACCCTGCCCGGCCCGAGTATCAAACCCAGGACCTGTGGCATGGAAGATCGAAGCGCTACCACTCAGCCACCGGGCGTCATTCCCATAAATATAGTTAGTTTAAAATTGAATTTTTCACTGATAACCTTCAAAAATATGGATGAATATTGTCATGTTGAACTTGATTTTAAGAGAGTGGGATATATAAATATGAGCATTCTTGAGTCATTCATTTATGATAGACATATTAACAAAATGAACTTACCTAAAGCTACTATTAATACACGCCTTATTAATAAATCTGATGATTTGAAAAATATCAACTTCAAAGAATACATATGGTGAATGAGAAGAAGTTATTAAAATTTACTCAAAGAATTTAATACCAGTAGGAAATCGATGTATTCCGCGAAAGATCATGTAATGCAAAAACATTATACGTCTAATTTAAAATTGCTTGTAAATCTCTTTTTTGGTAACAGCAGCTATAAAATAAATACAAAGTTTATTTAACTGTCAATATTTTATTAAAGCAACAGGTAAAAAGTTATATATTCTACAACATAACAATAGAACCACTTAATGATATATGAGATGATATAATGTAATATACAGTACAGAATCCGTTATCCGGAAATCAGAAAACCGGAAAACCAAAAAACCGGAACGAAATTCGATAAATTTTCCCGCCATTTTTAAAAAAAAAATTTTTTTTTCCTCATAGGATTTTTCTTTCTTTTTTGAAAGATACTTTACCATCATTTTGGAAATAATCATTAGTGTACTACTCCATCGTTTTTTCTTCTTTTTAAGATTATTTCCAAAAAAAATTATTTTTTTATTTGGGTTTAACAATACAGTTGGTACAATACAGTTGGTAACAATACAGTTGGGTTTAACAATACAAAACAGTTGGGCTTAACAATAAAAAAACGGCTACAGAAAACCGGAAAAATCAGTTATCCGGAATAGCGAGGGTCCCGATCGTTCCGGATAATCGATTCCCTACTGTATTTCTTAACTGAAGGCTATTACTCTTTCAAAACTTCTCACGAGGAAAAAAATATTCAAAGGCAATTTTACTTAATGTTAGGTTTCTACAAATGCAAAAAAAAAATTAAGTAAATAAAAGTTAATTTGTGAAAGTTTTGAGTCCAACTACCCTCCAAGAAAATACATATTTAGCAAAACTCAATTTCTAAGAAACAATGAAGTTAGAAAATGTTTTATTATAGAAAGCAATAGTTATCTCCATTCTTTCTTCTTGTATCTCATTCCATCTTCTCATTCTTTACAAATGAGTAAATGATCTACTCTATTGATTACTGAAAACCAATTTGAAATAGTAAATAACCACAGAATTAATTTTTCAGTATTCCTTTCTTGGTTTTCATTAGAAATTAAAACATCAGATTAATTCAAAAAAATAACAATAGGGAATGAATTATTTTTTTTGATCATAATTGTAATTAAAAGTGATCCATTTATTTTTGATTATAAAACTATATTAAAATCAATATCACATTTCTAATTAAATTTCCTGGTACTGGAAAATATTTAAAGAATGATCTGTAAGTATTCATATAAAGTTGAATTCAATATTTATTGATTTTTTCTCGCTAAAAACATAAACTTAATGGATATTAAATAGTTTTGACAAAAAGGTCTTACTTTCCTTTGGGAATGAATGTTATTTTATGATTTTTTTATGAAAAAGTAACATTAACTTTGTATTTTTGAAGGTAATTAGCTAAACTTTT